AAGGCGGGCCAATTTCTAGATGTTAGGTCCGAGCATCTCTTCAACGACTTAGTTGGTCGGGTTGAAGAGCACCAGACTCAGCTGACACAGCAGTCCACCGACGGATCACCCGTCACCTTATCCACACTTGAAGTGGATAGGATTTACGAAGAGGTAATTTTTTAAAAAACAATTAATATTCATTTAATTTTTAACTTTAACTTTTCACTAACAATATTTATTGTTTGTTTTTAAGGCTGTCCCTAAGAAAAAATGACATACGTTAGGAATTGGTTTCGTCAAAGATGTTCCGAGAGCCACATCGTCTTATGGTCAGAGTCGAGAAGATGAAGTCACTCAGCTTCATAACGAGTTGGACTAGACCCAACGTGTGTTCACAGCTCGTGTGGGTGGACTCGAGGGCTTCTTGGACATTATAACGACCACAAATCCTGAATGGAAGTCCCTGTTGAGGAACATGCGACGACAAAATTCCATCCCAAGCGAGTCATCCGGAACACATGACGAGGAGAATGTAGAGAGGAGGAGTTAGGAATTCTACCGGGCGGCTTTGAACGACTCTTAGTTTTTTTTTCGTTGGTTGAATTATAAATTCAAAACTTATTTATGTATAAAATATTTTCTTATTGACCTTTATTTTAAATTTATATTTTAATTAATATTTTAAATTATCTTTTTATTTTTTAATTCTGGAAAATAAAAATCTAAGTAAATTCGTATCTAAATTACTACTACTTTACGTGGAAAGTTTACGAGGAAGAAACGACGAATAATTTTACGTCAACATTACGAGTAAAGATTAACGAGTATTTTACATGGAACACTTTACGTGTAATTTACAACAAATAGCTTTCGAGATATTTACGAGGAAATATAGCGTCCGCCTTACATGGAAAGGTAACTTGGTTTCTACGACGAATGCTTAACTTCCTTTTTACGACGAAATAATTTCCTCACTAGTTTACGACGAATTGGCGAGAAAACATGCGTTACGGCGGACGATTAACGATGAAACTTGTTTCCTCGCTAATTCATCGTAAAGCCTACTTTACGACGAGATTACTACAAATTTCTTCGTCGTTAATCTTGTATTTTTTGTAGTGGTAGAAGTATTAAGGAACATTTAATCAAATAAATGAACTAAAAAGATTGACTTTCAAGTTTTTATCTTTAAATATATAAATTTCCAGCTCTGAAAAAAATAAATATTTATAACCAAATATAACATTAATCAGCATTTTCTAAGAAAATAGACTGATTTTATCCGATCATGTTCTTTCGATTCATATAATGAATTTATTATTTTAACAAATAGCATTAAATATATTTTTATGATTTTGAAAACTACAATTGGTTTGAATTTTGAATCATTAAATATAATTACGGGTCTATTAAATATCATATTAATATATTTGGTCTAAATAACAAGAGAATAAAAGATACGTAGTTTGTAATATTGTTTTAAAATTAAGAAATTTCATATTTATATATAGCATCGGTGATGATGTGTCAATGTGAGAGAATTATCTGTTTTATTTTATTTTTTATCATAAAAAATATCTACTTTATATGTATATTATAGATAAATAAACTTCATATCTATTTTTTGTCATTCTAACGTTTTGGTATTTTTTTTTCTGACACGTATATAATATACATCTATATTGTATGATACATATTTTGATATACCAATAATCTAATAAAATGAATATAAATCAATAAAATTTTATGAAATTATAAATTATGAAAGTTGCAATGAGGTAAAATGCATCCAAACTTAAGAACTCAGTTATACCTATCTCATATATATATATTAAAAGAGAAATATTACACTTTTTGAACTATGACACGTGTTATCACGAGAATCAATTTCAAAATCTATAGAAAAATATGTTGGTACATTTAAATATATAGTATACTTTCAATTAACCTTATCATATAATTAGATATCGATATAAAAATATTATTTCTTATTTCCTTAATAAACATACGGAATTACATAATTTAATCATTTTAATTTATACATCCTTTATCATTTTTAAATAATAAAGGATGTAAATGATAATTAATGATTTAAAACAATAAATATTTGATAATAATTTATACATCCTTTATCATTTTTTATATTAACATTATTAAATTATACTAGACAATCAAATTAACCAAATAATAAAAATTGATTTTTCTATATATTTTATACTTTAAATTTTTGAAAAAGAATATAAATTAATAAACTTCTAAAAATCTCGCTTTGAAAATCTATGATCAATGGTTTAATTTTAATTTATAACAAGGCACAAATATCCATAAAATTATATGAGTGAGATGTCTTTTTAAAAAAATATTAGATTAGATATATATATATTAATATCGTTTAAATTAACTTATATATTATATAAATGCATAAATATTTTATTTTCAAAATTTAATTGAGTTTTTAAAAGGATTATAAATTAATAAAAAAAATATTAAAAGTTCCATATTTAAATTTTGTTATCAATTTTTCAATATTTTTGTTATAAAATACAAATAATCATAAAACCATGTGAATAGGAAAATTTTATTAACTAAATAGTCATATTTAAAAGTTGTTCTATACAATGATATTTATCATTTAAATTTAATTATAAAAAATATGAAGATAAAAATTATTATTTAGATTTATTTTACATAAAATGATTGTAAATAACAATGATTATTTTGATTTATATGTCCGCACCAGTTTAGTTATATATGTAATAGTCACTGACTTCTCACTAATTTCATATAAGTAAAGAAAATGCAAATAAATAGTAGTACATACATTGTATGTATATATAACATTCATAACATGCAAGGCACGGGTCTTAATCTGGTTCTTGTTAATCTCGGTGAAGGTCATGGGATTCACTCAGAAAATATATTTAGGGTTTATACTAACATATCAAAGAAGTAATGAAAAAGAAATGTTTAGGAAGGATTTCATTATGGAAAGTGTTTTTATTAATATTATATCAAGGTACAATGACGATATATATAATGAATATGCGAGTAAAAATGGATTTGAGTACAAAATGAGTATAGTATTGCACTCTGAAGCTTAGGTCTCCTTTTGATTCTCTTCTATTCATACTGTTTTTAGTGTTTCGTTGTTTTTTACATTGGGGGTTGATTGATCAGGTTGGCAATGACTATCTTCTAATTCGGCAGTGGCTTTCGTTATTATTGTGTTTCGGCTATTGTACCAAATCCTTGGACCAGGTTTGAAGTGAAGTGAAACTTACCTCCACCAAAACCCCAACCCTTCCCCCCCCCCCATCCCGGCATGACTTAGTTCATCAGCCAGGTGGGTGTCGATTCTGGTCTTAGTGATTATGCGAGATCAAAACTCGGTTCAGGATTCTGGCCCGTTTGAATTAATGGTTATAATGTCTTGAAGAATTTTATTTTACCCTTTCGGAAAGTGAATTGATCCGCTTTAAAACTAGGAGAACGTAATCACATATCAAAAATTCCACACAATAAAATAAAGTAAGAAGGTGAAATTTTGTCTCTTAAGATCTTAACATATATGAAACAACAAAAAAAATAATTTTGAAAACACAAAACCCAAACAAGAAAAAAAAATGTAAATAAAAAATTAAAATTTTAGGATAACTTAGAAGAGAAACTTAAAAAGAGAAAAAAATGATAACATTTCTTTGGTTTACTCGATAAATATATACATATACTTATATTTCTATTTCATAAAATTGACTTTTTATAAATAAAAAAAAGTAAGTAAACACAATTCAATATATATAGTTTTATAAATTGTACATTTACATATTATTTTAGTAATATTAAACTGTCATAGTTAATGAACTTACCAACTTTTAAAATAATCACATATTTTATCACTACTATTATTTGTTCAAAATTTAATTCAAATTATTCCACTAATATTATAATTATAAACTAAAAATAACTATAATTATTTATTATGAACGATTTTAATTACTATAACTATTAACGTGAGAACTCAGAAACGAAAAATTACTTTGCATAATATATATAGAAATCTGAGGACATGACATAGACAACACCGAAACTAAGGCTAGGCATCTCATCCGTTAATTTTGATTTATTTCATTTCATTTCTATTTGATCCGAAAAATCGGATATCAGTAAGTGAAAAATCGGATATCCGTAAGTCTGAACAAAAATCAATATCCTTTAAAAATGAAGCAAATTACAAACACTAAAAATTTAGAGATGGATATCCGCTTTACGTGTTACCAAAACGAAAAAAAGGATATCCACTCCGACTTTTATACAGAGAGATATATATCTATAATTAAATATAGAGTTTTAAATGTAAAATCTTATATAATTATTATTTTATCATATAACTTTATTAACTTTATTTAAATTAAATAAAAAAGAACATAAAATCTTTAAACAAAACTACAGTTTCTCTAAAATCATTTGTTTTAAGAAAATTTCATTAAATTTAAAAAATTTAGAAAACATATAGTTTCATTAATTTTTACTTTACATTGTATATTATGTAAATATATGTTTTAAAAAAAAATTATATAGTTTCTTTTTTAGATTTATTTGTGTTGAGTAACCTGACCATTCCAAGGCTCTCTAGGGCATGCCAAGTTCACTTTCGGTGATGTTTAAACTAACTTCGAAGAAAATCAATCAGATGTTATGTATATGTGTAAGAAGGAATGTTGTAAATGCGTTCTTCTCTTTTTCGTCTTGCGACGTGCTTTTATTCTAATTAGTGCAAAGATTTGGAGTATGAAGAATTAATAGTGACAGAAACGAAAGAAACGGTAAAGTCGGGGACTAAGTTAAAAGAAAAAAATAAAAGGGTAGAGAGGGAGAGAGAAGAGACAGCGACATCCCCTCCCCCCTGCTTTTTTCTTCGTGGCGATCGAAACCCTAATTTAACAACAACAAAAAAAAACGGAATCTTGGTTTCGCCGTCGTTCAGCGTGGTTCGGCGGAGGAAACATGCGGTTGGGGAGATGCGTTTAATCCTCACCGTCATGCTATCATTCATTCCTTACCTTTATTCATCTCCTCACCGTCCCTGCTCATCCCCCGTCGCTCGTCCTCGGCTCCGGCGGTGCCGTCTGAGTCGCTTGGCCACCGCATTGGTCGCGACGTCGGGTCTTCTCCTGGCCTCGGTGGCGTGGCTCTCCCTGGTATTCTCACCCGCCACTTCTCGATGCTGGCATCTCCTTAGGGACTGGGAAGACGCTCATATCTGGAAGCATCCTCACATCCCGACACAAACACACATCCCAGTCCCTCATGAGCCAAGGAATCGTAGCCTCTGGGAGGAGGAGGAGGAGGATCTGTCTCTGAACCACTTGATGTTTGGTATCGCTGGCTCTTCCCAGCTCTGGGAACGACGCAAGGAGCTGGTGAGGCTATGGTGGAGGCCCTCTCAGATGCGTGGTCACGTCTGGCTTGAAGAGCAGGTTTCTCCAGAGGAAGGAGATGATTCTCTTCCTCCTATCATCGTCTCTGAGGACTCCTCTCGCTTCCGTTACACCAATCCCACTGGCCATCCTTCTGGACTCCGAATCTCTCGCATTGCTATGGAGTCTTTCCGCCTCTCTCTCCCTGGTGTCCGCTGGTTTATCCTCGGTGACGACGACACTATCTTCAATGTCAACAACCTTCTTGCTGTTCTCACCAAGTACGATCCTTCCCAGATGGTTTATGTCGGAAACCCCTCCGAGAGCCACTCTGCTAACTCTTACTTCAGTCATAATATGGCCTTTGGAGGCGGCGGCATTGCCATCAGCTACCCTCTTGCCCAAGCTCTCTCTCCCATCCATGATGATTGTATCGATAGATACCCTAAGCTTTACGGTAGTGATGATCGTCTTCACGCCTGCATCACTGAACTCGGTGTTCCTTTGTCCAAAGAGCCTGGCTTTCACCAGGTACACTCTCTCCTCCTCATCTTCTCTTCTTCTTTCTTCATTGCTCATTTCGTTACCTTTTTTTTTTTTTTTTTTTTTTTGGCAG